GGAAGAAGCCGTCGGCCGAGTTCATGCCCATGGTGGGCGCCTGCAGCCGCGTGTGCACGTCGATGCCGCCCGGAATCACCAGCTGCCCGTGGGCATCGATGGTCCTGGTGCCGCCGGGCACGATCAGGTGCTCTCCGATCTGTCTGCAAAGGAAACCAACATCTCCTCTTAGCTGGCAACAGCTTTCAGGTGAGGATGCCAAAACAACCTCTGTGGCTCCTCCCCCCGCTGCCAGTGCTCTGCCAGTCTCCACAGCTGCAGCTACCCCAGTGCAGCTCTTTCCTGACACTGCTCTAAAATGCTGCCTTCATTTTTCTAAAGAAAAAGTGATGGGAAAGAACCTTGTTCAAATCCCAAGGCACTGCATCATTCTAAGAAATTACATTAGCAAATATAAATTTTTAACTTACTTTATTAGGCCATCCTCCACATAAACGTCTGCGTAAAATGACTGATCATCGTTGACAATTTTTCCTCCTTTGATTAGAATGTGGTGACCCTAATGGGAAAAAAAATCCACAGGTTTCTGAAGATTTTTTTGTTTGGATTCCACCTTACTCATTCCAAGCTTTAAGTAAGTCTAGGTTTAGTATTTTCCCTGCAATCACTCAAGTTCAGTGACTACCCAGACTATTCTACAACCACATTTGCAAGGGGAACCACATGAAATTGTCGTTTGGAGGAGCCAGGGCTGCATCGCTGAGCCCTGGGCACCCCCAGCTCCGAGGGCTGAGCCAGCCGTGCTGCTGCCTCAGCTCCAGGCTTCTCAGTGCATCTCATTAACCTGGTAATTTATTGCCATTCATCCCTTTTCAGTCTCGGCTGAGGCAGATAAAGCCTCGAGGACTTGCCTCACTTCAAAGCCAGACACTGGCACAGTTTTCAGATTTGCAGAATCTTCACCCAGAATCTTTAACTAGAAAATTTAGGAAGCAGCAGCACTGATGTCTACATTCAGCTGCAGCCTAATTTCAGAGGATTCCTTTCCTGCTCTCTGATGCTGCTTGAAAAATTATTTCCAGTGCTGAAATGGGCAACACAAAGAGCACGGCCTGGGCACGGAACCAGCCGAGGGACGCCTGAGCACGTGGCAGCACAGCCTGGAGATGCTGCCCCTCAAACAGCCGGGTCCGGAGGCAAAACTGCCTAGAAACAGTTTGGGGCTTGTTTAAAAGAGCATCGCTGGCATATAAAGGGAAAACTAAAGAATTGCACTACTTTTCTTTTTAACAGTCAAGGATTTATTGTCTTTATTGTTTCCCCTTGTCCCATAACATCAATCAAAAGAAGCCTCAGTGTTACTGCCCCATGGGAGAGCCTGACGGCTCCTCCCTTTGTGGGGCCCATCCTCACCCCATGCCCATCCTTACCCCATGCCCATCCTCACCCCATGCCCATCCTTACCCCATCCTCACCCTCATCCTGACCCCGTCCCCACCCCGGCGGCAGGGCCCCACACCCGGGACCCGCTCCCGCATCCCAGTGACGGGGTTGGGATGTCAGAGTCCCTGGCTCCGGTGCCCACTGG